GTGGTTTTCTTGCAAACGTTTCATGACCCAACTAGGTAACATGATCAGTACATCAGTAGTGCTGGTGTGATGTCAACTAGTTGGGTCATGAAACATCTGCAAGAAAACAACTAGGCCCAGAGCACGGAGGACCCACAGTTCAACCCAGAGCTACAAGGATTATCTTCTATTGTTAGGGGTCAATTGTCTCAGAGCCCCTTCAACTATTACCTTCTCCAACTTCAAGGCGTTGTTGGGAGGTCTCTTAAATCCAATGGGCCATCACAGCACCATCTGTATGCCTCTGTGTGAGATATCATTCAAGCGCAGGTTTGTTTAGAAATGCACGGATGGATGAACAGACAGATGGCTTGGTAGATAGAATGGACGGAGAGAAAGAGTGCATGAGTGAGACAGACAGACAGACAGACAGATCGATAGGCCTGAGTTTATTTGTGTATTTACCTATCAAATTTAGATAGTGCCTATCTCACTGTCTAGGTTAGTCACTGGGCAGTTTACGAATGGTCTTTATGGAGAAGATTTATATTGCCACCTACTTATTCGCACATGGCGGATAAAAGTCGTAAAAACCAAAGAAATACAATAAAAACCGGGTTAAAACAAACAAGCCAACCGAGAATAGAATTAAAAATAAGTTAAAGGACAAATTGAAGAGTAGAAGGAGCACCCTGGAGTCACCAGCCATTCCCAAGGTTGCATGCCCCCCCTCTCTTTCTCTGTCTTTCTCTCTCCCTCTCCCTCCCTCCCCCTCTCTCTCCTTCCCTCCCCTCCTTTTTCTTTCTTTCATTCCTTCTTTCTTTCTTTTCTTTCTTTTTCTTTCTCTTCCTTCTCTCCCTCCCCCTCTCTCCCTCCCTCCTTCCCTCCCCTCCTCTTTCTCTCTCTCACTCTCCTTTCTTTCTTTCTCTCTTTTGTTCCTTTCTTCCTCCCTCCCTCCCTTCTTTCTTTCTTTCTTTCTCCTCCTCCCTCCCCCTCCCTCTTTCTTTCTCTCCTTCCCTCCCCTCCTTTTTCTTTCTTTCTTTCCTTCCTTCCTTCTTTCTTTTCTTTCTTTTTCTTTCTCTTCCTTCTCTCCCTCCCTCCTTCCCTCCCCTCCTCTTTCTCACTCTCTCTCTTTCTTTCTTTCTCTCTCTCTCTTTCCTTCCTTCCTTCCTCCCTCCCTCCCTCCTTTCTTTTTTCTTTCTTTTTTTCTTTCTTTCTTTCTTTCTTTCTTTTTTCTTTCTTTCTTTCTCTCTCTCTTTCTTTCTTTCTTTCTTTCTTTCTTTCTTTCTTTCTTTCTTTCTCTTCCTCCCTCCCTCCCTCCCCCTCCCTCTTTCTCTCTCTCACACACACACCATGTTAGTTGACACAGCCAAGTTTTCAAACTCCTCTGGAAGGACAGAAAAGTGGGGACCAACCACACGTCTGGGGGGGGGGCAGAGAGTCCACGGGGGGTGGGGGGGGGGGGGGGGGAGTGGGGACTGGCAGAGGAAGCTGTCTTCCTAAACCTCCCAGTCGAAATTCTTTAATCCAGTGGGGTTCGTAATCTTCTTTTCCTTCCTGACTGGGTGGGCTGGGTTGATGTCATTGTGGATGAGACGATTCCTCCACTAAGCTGGTTCCATGCCACGAGGGGCAATTTTGCAATGGAGGGAGGATGGCTCTGTTTTTGAAGAAATCCACAGAGACTAGAGCCTAAGAATCGAATATTTCCTGTCCCTTTTAACCTCCCCTTTTCAATACAAGGAGGAACCTCGATGGTTTCTTTTCTGGGCTTTCAGAGACGGAGACAAGAGAGGTGCTCTCTGGAGCACCAAGGCAGGGGTTTTGTCCTTGGCGGTGGCATCTGGGTCTCCCTCACACCTGTCTTTTGGAGACAAGGAAGACTCCAGGTGAGTTGGCTGATGCCGTTGCTAGACTAGCCGGCTGCGGTGATGGCAATTCGCCAGGTCTTGTGACTGGGTGGGGACACCCTGTCAGCCTGACATTCTTTTCCAATTGCTTCAGGGTGTTTTTGGAAACTGGCTTAATCTGGCGGGTGTACAGTACCTGGGAGCCTTTCCCTTTTACCTCAGCAGGGATGCCACACGGTCAAAAGCTGGGTTAGGAGGGTACAGGTCGTCCTCGACTTACAACAATTTGTTTCGTGACCGTTCAAAGTTGCAACGGTACTGAGGAAAGTGACTTATAGCCACTGCAGCATCTCTCTCCATGGTCTTTTGATTTATGTTCATTGCAGCACCCCAGTAGTCTTTGTGATGCAAATTCAAGCACTCCACAAGCTGGCTCATATTTATGACGGTTGCAGTGTCCCAGGGGATCACATGATCCCCTTTTGCCATCATCTGATGAGCAAAGTCAATGAGGAAAGGCCAGATTCACTTAACAACCGTGTTACTTAACTGAACAATTCGCAGTGATTCCCTTAACATCTGTGGTAAAAAAGGGTTGCAACATGGCACAAAGAAAAATCATTGAACTCTCTTGCTTAGCAACAGAAATGTTGGGCTCAGTTGTGGTCATAAGTCGAGGACTGCATTGTATTGTCCAAGCAACACAGTTGTTACGTACCACACCTTGGGGTCAGTCTTGATGTCCCCAGGGAAAGTGTGACCTCTCTCTGGCTACTGGTCAAGGAACAGATTTCTGGTCTAAGGTGGGAGTCTGTACAGGTAGTCCTTTACTTATGACCACAATTGAGCCCAACATTTCTGTTATTAAGTGGGACACTTGTTAAGTGAGTTTTGCCCCATTTTACGCCGTTTCTTGCCACAGTTGTTAAATGAATCACTGAGGCTGTTAAATTAGTACCCCAGTTGTTTAGTGAATCTGTTTATCCGATTGACCTTTGCTCATCCGAAGGTCGCAAAAGGAGATCACGTGACCCCCCAGGACACACAGCAACGGTCATAAATATGAACCAGCCGCCAAGCCTCTCAATTTTGATGACGTGGCCATGGGGAATGCTACAAAAAGCCATAACTGGTGAAAAAGGCTCATAAATCCTAAATAAGCGCTGTTACAACTTTGAATGGTCACTAAACGAACTGTTGTATAAGTCGAGGACTACCTATACGTGCCCTTGTGGGCTGCGCTGGGACTGGCGCCCAAGAGAGTTGGGGATTTTGGAAAAAAGCTGGAGAAAAGCAAATTCTGCCATGTGTCTTAAAACATTCTCACCAAATCAGATCAAAGTTTTGGGCCCTGCTCCATCTGGGAAACTTCTGGAAGCTGCAAGCGGGGAGTGGATTTTGCCTTCTTCGTTTTTTATTTTATTTTATTTTATTTTATTTTATTTTATTTTTTGCTGTTATCTATTGTTGCGTTCACAGCAAGGTAAAATCACAGCTGCCCGTTCCTTCTTAGCTGGCAGTGGCCTTCAGTTATTCTGTGATGATGGTTTCTGGCACAGGCAGGGCGATGTTTAGACTAGGATTTGACATTTTTGTACACTTTTTATCGGGTCTTTCCGAAGGACTTCGGATCGCCAGATGTTGTTATTTAATAAGACAAAGGGTATCCTTGCAGGATTAAAGCTCCCCCCCCCCCAAGAACAGTAAAGCCACGTTGGCTTTTCTCGCGGCTGCGATTTTTTTATCAGCGCCAATATGGTTCAAGTGGTGCTTCAGATGGTTTTGGGGTTGCAAACTTATCGCTATGGCTACTATCTCTGCTTTCTTTTTTCAGTTCTTGTTATGTTTGTTAAGGTTAGCTGCACAGTTGTCAGCCAGATATTTTAGACGGATTTGGTATTTTTGTACCCTTTTCGAGTTCTCCTCAAGGTCCTCGGATAGCTAGAGAGATGTTGTTTTAATAATAAATTCTCTACTATCTATCTAATAATACAGTGACCTAAGTTACAACGGCGCTGAGAAAAATGTGACTTATGATCGTTTTTCACACTTGACGAGGGTCGCGTCCCTACAGTCATGGGATCAAAAGTCAGACGTTTGGCAACTCTGACTCGTAGTTATGACGGTTGCAGCGTCCTCGGGGTCGTGTCATCATCTTTTGCGACCTCCTCCCTGCAAAGTCAATGGGGAAAGCCAGATTCACTTAACAACCACGTTAAGCAAAATGGTTCAGTGGAGATCTGCATATGTGGGACTGTTTGGGGTAGATCAGGGGTGGGCAACTGTGGTCCTTTTACAACCTGTGGACTTCAACTCCCAGAATTCCTGAGACAGCCAAGCTGGCTGAGGAATTCTGGGAGTTGAAGTCCACAGGTCATAAAGGGGCCATATTTGCCCACCCCTGGGGTAGATGGTAGGGGGTGACACCAAAATATAATTTTATCATATTTTATCTATATCTTAAATTATTGTGTTTTATTCCGATTTCCCATTAGGCTGTTCTTTCATTGCATTACTATCATCTGTTGCTTGCTTAATTCATGTAAGCTTAGACATCCTGGCTGGGGATGATGGGAGTTGAGATCCAAGTCATCCAGATGACATTAGATTGGGGGAACAGTGTTATAATTGTCATGTGCGTAGATGCTAGTAAAAAAACGGGAAAAATCAGGAACCAGCTATCTTTTTTTTTTTTTGCCAGATTTTACAAAATACCTTGGACTGCAAAACCTGGCATTGGGGGCAGTGATGCAAGCGGGCATGGTTGCAATCCTAACAATATTCTCCTTATTTTGAGTTCTTAGAAGTCAAGCAGGGAGTGAACCTTCTGCAGGAATGAGTTGTGAATCCCTTGTATTGCACGCTGTTATCTCGGGGAGAAAGGTCATTGCTTATGGGAAGGGTGTGTGTGTATGTGTACACAAATGAGCCCACAGTGCTGGCTTGGGCGAAAGCTATATCAAGAGGTGTCTGTCGTGGCACACGTGTGCTTGGCGCTTGTAGACAAAGACACAACTCGTTTTTCTCCCTTTTGTTTTGTTTTCTGGCCAGCCTCTTGATGTTGCAACCGTTGTGGGTGTGTATATCTGTGTTCCTTCACTAGCAGGGACTTTTTGCTGAAACAGAAACAAACCGTTCCAGGAAACGTAGCAGAGTTTGATCACAAAGTCCTGTGACTAGTAGACCTCCGGACGTATTCTTCTTATCAGGGTTGGGGCTGTCTGTGTCTGCCTGAGCACAAAGGAGCACACCAGTCCCTATTTTGTGCAATCCTGGGCGACACCCTCCCAGCAAAAGTGGTGTTGAAGCCCCGCTGTGCCCAGCTTTGAGGGATGATCCCAACCAGGTGTGCCAGAACTCCCATCGTTTTCGGCCAGCCGTCTGGAGGGGGCATCGCTTGGACCCAGGAGGCTTCATGTGAAGGACTGAAGTGGGGGGTATTGTCCTCCTCATGGTTTGGAAGACTTTGTTGGGTGGGAAAGATTTGTTGGGATGTAGGATCTCAGTGTGAAGCTGTCTTGGAAGCAACCTGTGGCTTCTTCTAAAAGATAGGCTTAGCAGAATGGCATGCAAAGTTATTTGCCATGCCCTTCAGACTGTTTGCCTGAGGTTCAATATTGACACCTCTGCCTTCTACAACCAGATGGCCCCTAAGCAATAGAATAGGAATAGGAATAGGAATAGGAATAGACACTAGACTGGACTGGACTGGACTGGACTGGACTGGACTGGACTTGAATTGAATTGAATTGAATTGAATTGAATTGAATTGAATTCTTTATTGGCCAAGTGTGACAGGACACACAAGGAATTTGTCTTTGGTGCATAGGCTCTCAGTGTACATAAAAAGAAAAGATACGTTCGTCAAGAATCCTAAGGTACAACACTTAATGATAGTCATAGGGTACAAATAAGCAATCAGGGAACAATCAATATCGATATAAATCGTAAGGATACAAGCAACAAAGTTACAGTCCTACAGTCATAAGTGGAAGGAGATGGGTGGTGGGAACGATGAGAAGATTAATAGTAATGCAGACTTAGTAAATAGTTTGACAGCGTTGAGGGAATTATTTGTTTAGCAGAGTGATGGCGTTCGGGAAAAAACTGTTGTTATGTCTAGTTGTTCTGGTGTGCAGTGCTCTTTAGCGTTGTTCTGAGGGTAGGAGTTGAAACAATTTATGTCCAGGATGCGAGGGGTCTGTAGATATTTTCACAGCCCTCTTTTTGACTCGTGCAATGTAGGTCCTCAATGGAAGGCAGGTTGGTAGCCATTGTTTTTTCTGCAGTTCTAATTATCCTCTGAAGTCGGTGTCTGTCTTGTTGGGTTGCAGAACCAAACCAGACAGTTATAGAGGTGCAGATGACAGACTCAATAATTCCGCTAACTTTTTTTTCTTCCTTATAACTTGATTCTTGATGATTGCTCCTTCCTCATGAAGCTTTTCAAGTGCGTCGAGGCTTGCTAGAATTCTCAGAATTTTTATTCCCAAGAATAACCCCTGACAGGATTCACACGACACAGACATTAGCTTAAAATGGGATTTGGTTGCTTCTGATCCAATGCCAGCCCCGTAACACCGGAATATCGTGTGTTTGTTTGAGTGTAGCAAGTTAGGGAACCCAGTAACTGGGTTTAAGGATCAGTGAGTTGTGTGAATCCAACTAATATAGTGTGTAATGTTTATGAGGGAGGAAGATTGGGGAAGAGAAACATTAAAGCTCTTTTCGGCTGTGGCAATTCCAGGGGTAATTTAGGCTGGTTGAGTTTCTTTCTGCCGTGCCTACCTTGCAGGATTGTTAGGGGGAAATGGGAGTGCTCCAATAGCTCGCGAAGAAAGGCTGGATATTAAACCTCTTTTTTTATTTATTTATTTTTATTTTTCAATTTATATACCACCCTTCTCCCTAAGGACTCAGGGCGGTGCACAGCCAGAATTAAGAACATGAACTACAAATATTAAGAACAATTAAAATATCTATAAATTTGGCCCCAAAATTTAAAAATCACAAACCAATTAAAACATTTAAAAAATTTAAAAAATTCTTCTTAAACCAGCCCGGCTTGCTGGAAAAAGTGGGTTTTAAGGGCACGGCGGAGGGCACTGAGGGATTGATGGGGGGGGGGGGGAACCCCTGGAAGATACATGGCGGGGCCAAAAATGGCCGTGATATCAGTCTCTTAATCCTGATATCAATCCTGATATCAGGATTGATATGACTCAATCACGATAGCAAGGCTGGCTAGGGAATCCAGGGAGCTGAAGCCCACGCAAGCTAAAATAAAATAAAACCCTAAAAACAAAACCCCTAAGTTTTCATTGCTCGCCGCCTCTTTGGCAAGGGTGAGTAGGGACTAGTAATCCACAAATCAGATGCCAGCAGACTCTGCTGCCCCATCCGTTGATAGGCGGCTCTTTACTTTTACCTGGGAGGGGTTGGGCTAGATGGCCTCTGAGTGACCCTGCAACTGTTTTCCTTCGGGGAATGTTGATGTGTATATTACGTGTGAGTGAGTGAGGGCCTCCTCCGTGTGACCCAGTTGCTGCAGCCTTGCAGCCACTGATGTAACAGCCTCGCAATCTCTCTTCCCCTTCCTTGGTGACTCACTTCTTGCTCACAACTCCAACTCACCTTTCGGTGCCTCTGTGTTGCAACCTCAGAACAAAGGACTCGCTCCTCTCGAGCAGATCTCGGCCGGCCGCCCCTAGCTTGACCCAGAGAGCCCCGCCATCCCATCCCCGCTGAAGCCCCTCGGTTTTGTCTCCGCGCAGGGGCCTCCCCTCCCTCCCTTTAGCAGAGCGCTGGTCTCTGAATGGCATTGCTGTTGCCCCCGCAGGACACACGACAGAAGCGACAGGATGAAAGAGGAGGTTGAAATCGGAACTCGGTTCATCTCTCGCTTGGTGAACCGTCACGAGAAGCTGGAGAAAAACCAAGTGGAGCGCTTCGGCGAGAACCTGACCAAGATCCTGTGCGAGCGATTTAATGAGCATTGGTATCCAGATAACCCCCTGAAAGGACAGGCGTACAGGTAAGCAAAAAGACTAGGTGTTTGGCTGGGTCTGATCCATGGCACGTCTTCTGGACAAGCAATCTGGTTTAATCTAACGCTGGAGAGAAAAAAAGAGATTCTAGATTGAAACCGGGTAGGCAAAAAAAATAATAATAATTCTATGCTCTGTTCCTGTTGTCTGTGGACATTCTCAATCATCCAGGTCATAGTTGTCCCAAAGTTGCTTTTCAAAAGTCAACTGGAATTTTTTTTGGGGGTGGTGGTTCCCCCCCTTGAAAATATTTCACTTCTCATCCAAGAAACTTCCTCATCATTTAGGCAGAACCAAAAAAAAGCTTCATGTGAGGAGAAGTGGAACGTTTCCAATAACCAAGAAAGTCTAGTTTCCTTCTGGAAAGCCCCATTGGGATTCCTGATGTTCTGGAGCAATGTTTTCTCAACCTTGGTGGCTTGAAGACGTGTAGACAGCCAGCTCCCAGGTGAAGGTTAGCTACATTGATCAACAGATACGTTCAGGCCTGGCCCGTTGGGTTCCTTTGATCCTTTTTCCCTCACTGGATCTAGATTTATGGGGGAACAAGCTTGAGAATTCTGGGAGTTGATGTCCACACCTCTTCAAGTTGCCCGAGAATGGGAATCACCGTTCTAAAAGCAAATGAGTAATTTGAACTATCGAAAGCTGGCTTTGTGTTAAGCCCCTTCCTCCTGGCTAGGCAAAAGAGAAGATAGGACCTCATGTGTGTCAGGACATGGTAGTGTAAGGGACGCAAATTTTTACAATTCGCATTGTTTTGCAGTGCAGCTTCCTGATGGGTCTAATCTACCGTGTTTCCCCGAAAACAAGACCCTGTCTTATATTTTTTTGAACCTTGAAAAAATAAGTGCTTGGCCTTATTTCCATGGGCTCAAAAGCCCAATTGGGCTTATTATCAGGAGATGTCTTATTTTGGGGGGGGGGGAAACAGGGTACTAATTTGCCTCTGGCCTTCAACTGCTATGGTTGAGATCCTGTGATTATTATTATTGTTATTTTTAGGATAGTTTAAAGCAGTGTTTTTTTTCCTCCTTGGCACACATCTCATGTCAAGGCGACCTGAATCTGGTGGTATGTTGTTGTTTTTTTTTTTTTTAAAGAAAGCACCAAAACAACTTGCCGCCCTTTTAACTTTTGACAACATTAGATTTACGACAGTGGCAGCTTGTCAAAAGTTGTATTTCAGGGGAAATACAACTTTTGTTTAGGGTAGAAACACTTGAAGATTTCTCCCTTGCCTTGAAACTAATTTTCTTCAGGATTTGCAGGACGAAGTCAGGAAAGTCAAAAACGTACAACAAAATAGAAGGGCCTTTAAAGAAAAGCCCCCCCTCCCCTCCAAATCTTTTTATTAATTTTTTTTAAAAAAAATTTAAATTAATCATTACACTTTTTGTAATGACACCAGAGTGATTTGGGGCCTTCAGCTGAAGTTCCTCTGTTTACGCTGTTCGTCAAAGATGAAATGTGATTTCACAGCCTTTGTCAGTCAACAAGATTGTGGCGTGCCGAAATGGAGGAAATGGAAGTGGTTGCTGGTTTTTTGTCTTCTTGTTACATTTACCCTAGTTGTGACAGGAAGATGGTGAAACTTCCGTTTATCCAAGCAGCTGTCTTCAGAGTTGGTTGGTTTTTTTTTAAGAAGCCAAAAAGCGAGCTCCTTAAGCTTCCACAAGCAGCTTAGATTTTTAATAATATTTATGTCATAACTTTCTTCCGCCGAGGCCGTTAAAAGTAAAGAGTCTAGGATTCAAGCCAATTGTTTTTTGTTTTTTGTTTTGTTTTATTAGATTTATATACCACCCTACTCCTGAAGGACTCAGGGCAGTGAACAGGCACAGAATAAAATACATAGATTAAATTAAACCAGATTAAATAATTTAGCCTGAGACAATTAAAAAATCCTAATAATTTAAAACAGATTAAAATTTCGATTTAAAAGAATTTTAAAACAGGGGAGAAAATTAGGCTAGGCCGGCTTGCTGGAATAGGAGAATCTTAAGAGCACGGCGGAAAGGCTTAGATCCGGGATCCTCCGTATCTCTGGGGGGAGCTCGTTCCAGATAGTGGGTGCCCCCACAGAGAAGGCCCTCCCCCTGGGGGCCGCCAGTCAACATTGTTTAGCTGACGGCACCCGGAGGAGCCCCTCTCTATGAGAGCGTACTGGCCGGTGGGAGGCTGCTAGTGGTAGTAGGCGGTCCCGTAAATAACCAGGTCCTAAGCCATGGAGCGCTCTAAAGGTGGTAACCAAAACCTTGAAGTGCACCCGGAAGACCACCGGTAGCCAGTGCAGCTCGCGCAGGAGAGGTGTCACACGGGAGCGCCATGTTGCTCCCATAACCACCCGCACAGCCGCACTCTGCGCCAGTTGGAGCCTCCGGGTGCTCCTCAAGGGGAGCCCCATGTAGAGAGCGTTGCAGTAGTCCAGGCGGGAAGTGACGAGGGCATGAGTCACTGTGTGTAGGGAGTCCCGATCCAGAAAGGGATGCAACTATCTGAACAAAAAAATAGGCCAATCAGGGTTACTAGAAAGTGGTGTTTTTGAACTTGTTTGAAGACGTGTGGACTTTCAACTCCCAGAATTCCCCAGCCAGCCATGGCTAGCTGGGGAATTCTGGGAGTTGAAGTCCACAGGTCATAAAGTGGCCAAGGTTGAAAACATTGCCATATAAAAGATAAGGGGTGGGTCGGTGGGTGGGTTAGATAGAAAAATCTAGAAGCTAGATAAGGATGTGGTTTGGCCTGCTTGGTTTCAGGTCTGGCCTGCTTGGTTTCTATGATCCTCTTTCTGACTGGATCTGGATTTATGGGGGAAACAAGCTTCGTGTTGAGAAGACACAACCTAAAGTCCATCTTTCTCCTGATCTGTTGTCTTAGTTTGGAGAGGGTCACCACAGCCATCGATGGTTCTTCTTAGGACACAGTTTCCAGCATTACACCGAGCTCTAATCTAGCGTGTTTGGATGAATTATTGAATGAACCTGGATAAGCCCCTCTCTGGGCCTTCTCACCAAAACAGAATTAACAGAGTTGGAAGGGACCTTGGAGGTCTTCTAGTCCAACCCCCTTCTCAAGCAGGAGACCTTATACCATTTCAGACAAATTGTCTGTCCAGTCTCTCATTGAAAGCCTCCACAACTTCTCCTGAACCATCTAAGAAAGATGGTGGCGACACGGATGAGTGGCCAAAATTGTGGAAACCTTTTGGGAAAAGTGTATTTTCTAAAACTAGCTAATAACACCACTTTTTTTTTTTTGAGTAGTAGTACCATAAAATTATGTATTAATGGAAAGATAATTTAACCAAGAATGTAATGCAATAACTTTTATGAAGGATTTGCTGTTAGAACAGCAGTTGCAGTATAAAGAAGAAAAGTGAAACGTCCCTCCTGCTCATGGCAACTTGAAAGCTTTGCAGGTTGACAGCCCCCACATAACTGGACCTGATTTTATTTTATTTTTTCCTGGTAGTTATTAAGTGAATGTTGTGGTCGTTTAGCGAATCGGTGTACCTATGGGTATCTTTCCCTTGCCACGCCCACCAATCTCGTGATTGGCCCAAGGTCGCCCAACTGGTTTTCATGCCTAAGGTGGGACTAGAACTCCCGTCACCTGATGATTGGCCCAAAGTCACCCAGCCTGCTTTAATACCTAAGACAGGACTAGAACTCACCGTTTCCTAAGACCGGAGGGTGGGGGGAAATAATTTCATAAATGGGCGCTAATACACAAAAAATTATTTCTTGGTCACATCCAGCTCAGACGTGGGTTTCAGCAGGTTCTGACCAGTTCTGGAGAATCGGTAGCGGAAATTTTGAGTAGTTCGGAGAACCGGTAGTAAAAATTCTGACTGGCCCCGCCCCCATCTATTCTCTGCCTCCCAAGTCCCAGCTGATCGGGAGGAAATGGGGATTTTGCAGTATCCTTCCCCGGAGTGGGGTGGGAATGGAGATTTTACAGTATCTTTCCCTTGCCACGCCCACCAAGCCACACCCACAGAACCGGTAGTAAAAACATTTGAAACCCATCACTGAACTGGGGTGTAAGTAACTTTTGGGGGGGAGGCACCATAAATTTGAGGGGTCACTAAGCCCTTGGTTGTAAGTCGAGGCCTACCTGCACATGAAATGTTAAAATCTTGCTTCTTGAATCATGAGCACTAGGAACTTGGATATTTTAAAGTTCCCATTTAAATAGGAAAAAGAAAAAGATCGGCCATTAATCCTCCCTTTGTGGGGGGGGGGTGACTTCCTGTTCTGCAGCCCAAGCCCACTCCTCGGCCCCCACCTAGCCTTTTTTAAGTACACTGTGAAGCAACAAACAAAAGTACAAACAGCAAGCAAAAAGTTCCTTTCTTTCTTTCTTTTTTTTTATGGAGTGTTTTGTTTGCACAGCCAGCTGTAAAATAACTGTATTGTACATTTCAAGGCTATGTGTAACTGATAGGCACAGTTTGCATACTAGTTTGGCTACTCGGGTGATTATTAGCCGGTCACACCACAATTTTGTGTTTGCTGTGTGCCCCGCCTGGATCTTGTTGTTGGCAGAATTGCTCGGGGAAGCTAAGCTCTGCTTTTAAACAACATTATTTTGGTTGTGTCAATGCCGGCCTTGAGAGCTTCCGAGGGACGGAGGAAACATCAGGATTTGATTCCAAAACGAAGATCTGAGTCAGCACCAGTGGTGGGTTCCTCCCGGTTCGGTCCGGTTCGGCCGACCCGGTAGCGGTGACGATATGACATCACCGAACAGGTTCTCCCCCCACGCCCCCACATTATTCTTACCTTTTATTTGGCCCCACCCCCAATCTATTGCTGCCTCCTGAGTCCCAGCTGATGACTAGAGGGAAAAAAAAACTGTTTAAACTCTTGCCGTGGGGCTTCAAAGGGCCGTCCTACAGCTGATCAGTGTTAAAAGTAAACAAATGAGCCGGGTCGTAAGTGCGAGGACTGGCCGTAAGTGCGAGGACCTTCACGCCCACAGAACCGGTAGTAAAAAAATTTAGAACCCACCCCTGGTCAGCACCTCCTATCTTCATTGAGATGGCCCTTACTTTGAAGCCTCCAGAAGTTGTAAATGCTCTAACGCTGGAGGTTTTTAAGAAGAGAATGGATAACCATTTGTCTGAAATGGTTATCAGGGCAGTGATGGTGAATCGTTTCGACACCGAGTGCCCATGTGAACGCACCGAACACCAGCTGGCCGGCGTGCGCATGTCTGTTTTTTGGCCCCTTTTGGCAGTTTTTCAGACCGTTTTGGGGGCTGTTTTCAGGGTGTTTTTTTGGTCCAAAAAACAGCCTGAAATTGGCCTGAAAAACACCCTGAAAACGGCCTGAAAAATGCCCTGGATCTTGGGCGTTTTCAGGCCATTTTTCAGGCTGTTTTTTGGCCCGAAAAACACCCTGAAAATGATCCGAAAAACGCCCTGGTTTTTGGGCATTTCCAGGCCGTTTTCCAGCACTTGCAAAGACCATCTGGTGATGGCGCACATGCCCACAGAGAGGGCTCTGTATGCCATAGGTTCACCATGACGGGTGTAAGGTTTCCTGCCTAAGCAGGGGGTTGGACTAGAAGACCTCGAAGGTCCCTTCCAACTCTGCTATTCTATTCCATTCTAAATTCCCAGCGAGACACTTTAGGCATGAGTCTTACAAGAAGTGGATAACCAGATGTGTCATGACAAAACAATGCCCAGCCGTTTGGATGCATGTTCAGCCAAGAAGACATGCTCTCCTCCTTAGATAAGGCGCTCGGATTAAATCTCCCAAAGGTGCTTTTTCAAAAGGCAACTGGACTTTTGTTTTTTCTTGGAGGTGTTTCGTTTCTTTATCCAAGAAGCTTCTTCAGTTCTGACTGAATGGTGGAGAATTGGAGGATTTATATTCCTTGCAGTCCTCTGATCGTTCCATACTCTTTCTGAGAGTCGTTGAGTCAGAACTGAATAAGCTTCTTGGATGAGAAGCGAAATGTCTTCAAGGAAAAACAAAGGCCAGTTGCCTTTTGAAAAACAAAAACCAAAAAAACACCTTTGGGACAACTATGAACTGGATGACTGAGAATTTCCATCAACACTTATCCACAGACAAAAACACCGGGAGCCACAAAACCTTTCTGACTATTTTTTGAGCACAAATGTATGTAGTTGAATTAATATGTAGCACATATGTAGTTGAATTAAACATTCTGTTTTTCTTCTGAAACTTTTCTTTTCTTGGATTTATCCATGGTTGGCCTACCGGGGGTTGAAAAGCTCAATAAAATCGTGTGCCGGCAGATGTCGCACATTGCCGGTTGTGACGCATATTTTGAATGACAAAGAGCGGCAGCAGAGAAGTGAAAGAGCCACATGTGGCTCCAGAGCCGCAGGTTGCTAACTCCTGCTCTAGTGGAATCCTCAAGAAGCAAACTGAATAAAAGTGAATAATTCCAATTTTTTTTTAAAAAAATGTCTTTTGTTTTTTGATATGGTTCCTCCCTTTCAATCTACGGCCGTAACTAGGAATCCCCCTTGAAACGAAATCTTTTCTGAATCTTTTGCCTTCCTTTTTCCCCAGATGCATCCGGATCAATAGAAAGCAGCAGGTTGATGATTCCCTCCTAAAGGCCTGCACGGCCTGCGGTCTGGATTATTCAGAATTAAAACTGCCCAGGGAAATTTCCATCTGGATTGATCCTGGTGAAGTTTGCTGCAGGTTAGTATCTCAGGCTCCATCCTGTCATTTCACCTATGCCTAACAGAACAGAAGAACAGAGTTGGAAGGGATTATAGAGCTGTAGGACTATAGACTACAGCCGTGATGGCGAACCTATGGCACGCGTGCCACAGGTGGCACATGGAGCCATGTCACCTGGCACGCCAGCTCAGCTTCTCTAGGAGTCTCTGGAGGCTGGGGACAACAAAAAATGTCACTTCCTGTCCAACTGGAAGTTGGGAAACGGGCCGTTTCGGGCCTCCGAGGAGGTGGGGAAGATTGTTTTTGCCCTCCCCAGATGCATAGAGAGGATCTGGAGCCAGGTGAGAAAGAAAAACAGGCCTACCGGGCCATTGTGTGCCAGGAGCGGAGTGGGGGGTGGGGGCGGGGAGGGGGGGTTCATGCATGCATGTGCAGGGTGGGGCACATAGAATTATGGGTGTGGGCACGTGCATGCTTGCGAACCTCCCCCGCCCCCTACCTTCCTGGCACGCGATGGCAAAAAGGTTAGCCATCACTGGACTATAGGGACTCCATAGACCAGGGGTCTCCAACCTTGGCAACTTTAAGACTTGTGGACTTCAACTCCCAGAATTCTTCAACACAGCATAGCTGGCTGGAGAATTCTGGCAGTTGAAGTCCACAAGTCTTAAAGCTGCCAAGTTTGAAGACCTTTGCTATAGACTATAGGGACTCTATAGACCAGGGGTCTCCAACCTTGGCAACTTTAAGCTTTGCTGGCTGAGGAACTCTGGGAGTTGAAGTTCACAAGTCTTAAAGTTGCCAAGGTTGGAGACCCCTGCTGTAGACTAGAGAAAGTCTATAGAGATTCTCAGTTATAGAATAGATAATAGAATTCTTTTATTGGCCAAGTGTGATTGGACACACAAGGAAATTTGTCTTCGGTGCATAAGCTCTCAGTCTACATGAAAGCTATTAAGTGATAAACCATGATCATCGTCATCTTAAAAATATTCATCATAAGATACAACTCTTAGTGATAGTCATAGAATACTAAATAAGCAATCAACACAAATCAATGTTTTAATATGGCTGTACACCGCCCTGAGTCCTTCAGGAGAAGGGCAGTATAAACATTTAATTAAATAATAATAATAATAATAATAATAATAATAATAATAATAATAATAATAATAATAATAATATCATACTAGGAAACTAAATTAAAACAATCCGGGTCAGCTGGCCAGTGGGAGGCAGTCGTGCATGCTGAGCTGGGCAACGGCTCACGTGCCCACAGAAAGGGCACCATGCGCTGGCTGTGGCACGGGTGCCATAGATTCGCCATCACGATCCTAGAGGCATCAGCAAAGGGGTGGCTGACTTGGATTTCCTCCTTCACCAGCCCAACCTCCAAATCGGAGCACCTGTTGAATTTTAGCCTGTTGAGAGCCCTGGTGGATGATAGGCTGAGCTTTCCCACCCGTTCTGTTCCTCCAGGCTTGGTGAGAACAACCAGTACTTCACGGTGAAGAAGGAGGAGAACACCAGTGGGAAATCGACACCAGAGCCAGAGACCTCAGATTATCACTCAGAATCTCCCTCCGAGAATTCAGAAGATGAGAGCCTGGCCAAGTTTTCTAAGACAAGATATCCAGACAAAAGTCGGCCGACTGGGAAACACAGTCCCACCACACAGGTGAGAGACCTCAAGGACAATGCCTGGAGTTGAGAGTTCATTGTTGTTGTTGTGTTGAGCTTTAAGAAAAAAAAAAGTCTCCTTTGATTTGCTTCTGCAATGTAAACTGGGAGGCGAGACGCCCTTGAAGTCTTTTATCTCCCAGTAAGAAGACCGTGGCATCTCCACCCTTGGTTAAACGTTCAAATTAGCTCAGGGCCTGTTGGTTGTAATCCAGCAAAGCAAAGTTCAGCTTCGTGTGTGGCTTGTGCTGCTGTTACAACCTCTTGTTGATAAGATGCAAATTCCTTGGAGCGAGCCGACTCGGAGGAGGGATGGAGGGGGAGGGAGGTCACTGGATCTGTGGCTCAAAAGTGGCACGTAGGCAATCCTGAGCGAAAACCTGGGGAAAACATTCTGAACGACTGCGAGACTTTAAAAATGCCACGGTTGTCAATAATACTGGCCTGCGTAAGAGCAGTGCTCCCAAACGGAGACAAAAAAGGGGGAATATTGGTTTCGTTCAAGGGTCTCCAAACTTTTGTAACTTTGAAGACATTGTGGACATCAACTCCCAGAATTTCTCAGCTGCCTGGGGGAATTATTTGGAGCTGAAGCCCACAGGTCTTGGCTTAGTTGAAACACGGATCTGACTTTGGCTTACCCCACATCAGGGGTGAAATGCTCCCAGTTCGGACCGGATCGCCCAATCCGGTAGCAATGGCGGCAGGTGGTTAGGAGAACTGGTAGCAAAAATCCCTGTGCCCCCCCCCATGCCCAGCTGAGCCGCGCAATCATCAGAGGCTTTTTTTTAACTTTTAAAAGCATTTTTTCTACAACCTCTTTGGCTGAAAAAATGCTTTTAAACGTAAAAAAAAAAGCCTCTGATGATCGCGCGGCTCAGCTGGGATCGCTAGAGGCCTTTAAAAGCACTTTTTCTACAAACTCTTTGACCGAAGAGGTTGAATGAAAAAAAAAATGCCTTTAAAAGCCTCTGCGGATCCCAGCTGAGTTGCCTGATCGTCAGAGGCTTTTAAAAGCATTTTTTTCTGCAACCTCTTTGGCCGAAGAGGTTGTAGAAAAAAATGCTTTTAAAAGTTTAAAAAAAAAAAAGTTGGCCACGCCCACTCCATCACATTACACCCCCCCCACCGAGCCACGCCCACAGAACCGGTAGTGACAAATCTTACATTTCACCACTGCCCCACATGTTTACCTAGCTAGCTGAAAGTCAAACCAGGGTTAGACTTGGTCAGTATTTTGATAATGAATCACTGGGAAATTCCAGAAATTTTTAAGCTGAACTGGGAGAAACAACTTTTTGGTGAGACCTGATAACAAACCACTTCCACAGAAACCCTGGGAGCTGAATTCAACTCGCCTGGAAACATGTTATCTTAATTATTAGGCTAGGCTTGATTTGATTCAGGTTGTCCCAGTGTGTTGGGTTGGGCTCATTCCCTTCTTTGTGAGAAGATCTGATGGGTTGCGAGCCTTTTTGAGTCTCCAGATGTAGCTTCTGGGTTTTAACCCTCCTTCTCTCTCTCTCTTTCCTTCCAGCCTACCCAGTATTACTACGTTCCAGCTCCTCTTTGGGTTCCTCATAGTGTGGTCAGCTACATCCCAGCCTACCAGCCTGTGTTCTACTACGTTGACGTCCCCCCAAAATCCCCTGTGCCCAGAAAACCCAACCCAAATCTCGTGAGACGCCTTACCAAACGGGCCTCCAAAATCTGAAGATGCAGGAGGCCGAGTGGACATCTTGGTCCCTCACAACATCTCAAGTCCTATCTAGAGTTTGGCCTTATTTTCACTGACATTGGGAGCTTGGGGGAAGAAAACAACTGTTTTTTTTATATTCTCTTTCAGGTGGTTGCTAACTCTTGGCAATTCCCCCTCCCCCCCGGGGGGGAACTACCAAGAGTTATCCTCTTCACCTCGCCCCCCAGACCGAAAGATAGGGGGTGGCACTGCCTTGTTTCTATGGTGCCAAACAAGTGTAGCATTAGCATTGTATATTATTTAGCACTTCAGCATAGTAGGGAATAAAACTGGAGACCTGGGTTTCTCCTACGTTGCACTCAGCAGGGGAGTGGGATCTAAGAGTTAGAGCAGGACGCGGAGGGGAACGAGGATGGGAAAAGGTTCGGATGTGGAAACTGAAAGAACGAGAGGGGAAAGAAAAACCAGGTTGACAGGCTTCTGCGCCTAACCAACTTTGCTTAAGGTATTACTGCTTCTGCCAAACCTGGCTAATCATGACTGAATTACGTGGGTGTATCCTGTGATTTTTAAAAAAGGATAACTTAAAAAACCATTATTTTTTTTTGCTGCTATCAGCAGAGAAGGGGATTCCCCTTTGTTTCAATCATTCATTGACTAGGAAGGAGGCAATGGCGAGCCACTTCCAAAAAACTTTGTGCCAAAAAAAGTTTGTGCTCGTCTCTTGAGAATTGGACACGACTCCTTAGAAAAAGAAAAAGAAAGAGATTAGGGAGAAAAAAAAAAGATTAGTAATGATTTTTAGAGTCTATTCTTAACCCCCAATAAAATCATTTGTTTTATCCATGGTGGCAAGCAGAAATGAATTTAGCCTGTTAGGATCCTGGCATTGCCAAGTTTGAGAATCCCCAGCTAATCCTGTTTCTCTTAAGAATGAAATGTTTCTCTTAAGAATGACTTAAAAGATTGTATTGTGAACACTTGTTATGTATTGCTCAGCTATTATCCACGCCTTCAGCTTTTGAACTCTTTATTTCTACATTTCCAAATACTTTGTTTGCAATTGAAGGGCTTGAAACTAAAGGGGGAAAAAAAGAGACCCAATATTTTGAAAATAACCCTTTTTTATACCTGAAAGCGATTTCTGTCCTTGCAAAGAGTGAGCAAGTTATATACAAGGCTGCAGAAATAATACTTACCTACCTCAAGGGATGATGTTATAAGGAGGGATGAGTGGGAATAGTTTAATTATTGCTATTATTATTGTTATTATTATTATTTTAAAATATTTGTAGCTTCTCTGGAAGGACTTGTTGATGGGCAAAGTATTATTAATGATGATTAATATATGTCTTGTAAATAACAATCAGGGACAAATTTTTTTTTGTTTAATTTATAGAAGCAATGAAATTGTGTAAATAATATATTACACCTGCAAGCTTGTTTTTACGCACCATTGATACAATGTATTTTTTTGCTTTTTATAAGATGCTTTTTCTATAAAACTTTTTAAATGAAATATTAAAAACAATAAAGGATGAATAATAAATGATAGCTTGGACTGCTGGTTTTGTGATGTCAGTGTAGGTGAACCAATGAAATGAAAATGAAGCTCCCTTTTCCCTTTCAATCAAGTTTTGATTCTTTTTTTTAAAAAAAAATTTTATACGTTTCTCTTTGATATACATAAGTGCTTAATAAACAGTATACTGTCTTGGGTCAATTTAGTTATACATAATAATACCATAGTAATTATTATTTACTTGTACACAGTGGTATTCTTCCTATTTCTAATTTCTACCTCTATTATCTAACCATTGATAAAACAAAACCCATGTTAAAAAAATATTCTGTATCTTCTTTATCATTTATCTTTAATGCTAACCTATCCATTTCCGCACTGTCTAGTATTTTTTCAATTATATTTTCCTCTGTAGGAGTTTTCTCATTTTTCCAATGTTGTGCCAATACAATTCTCGCTGCCGTCAAAACATGTAGTATTAAATATATATTCCCTTTGTCATGACTTTTCTGGTAGTAATACCTAACAAAAATATTTCTGGCTTTAAATCTACCGTATTTTTGGGAGTTTAAGTCGCACCTTAGTTTTTGGAGAGGAAAATAAGAAAAAAAGCTGATTGGCAGGTGGATCGGCCTCCGGGAATACCCCCAATCAGCTGTTCCCAGAGGTGAATTTTAGCAACAGGTTCCTTGGTTGTGAGCTCTGTGCCTTGCTTTTTTTTTTGCTTTTTTTCCCTGCCTCTGAAAGCCTCCAAAACAGCTTCAGAAAAAAAGCCTCTGAAGCTCTGTTTGGGGGCTTTTTTTCCTGAAGCTTCGTTTCTGATGCTTTTTTCAGCCTCTGAAACCTCCGTTTGAGAAGCTGAGCGGGGCTACATTCGAAGTATAAGACGCACCCAGATTTTCACCCTCCTTTTTGGGGGGAAAATGGTGCGTCTTATACTCCAAAAAAATACGGTATATGTTGCTTTATCATTCTCCATAAGCATGTATATATTTTCGTCCAATTTTTTTTTTTTTTGAGCCCAACATTTACGTCGCTAAGTGGGGACATTGGTTAAGTGAGTTTGGCCCCATTTTACGACCTTTCTTGCCACAGCTGTTAAGCGAATCACTGCAGGTGTTAAGTTAGCCGCACAGTTATTAAGTGAATCTCTGGCTTCCTTATTGACTTTGCTGCTCAGAAGGTTGCAAAAGGGGGAATCATGTGACACCCGGGGTGGGGACACTGTAACTCATAAATAGGAGCCCGTTGCCAAGGATCTGAATTTTGACCACATGACCCTGGGGATGCTGCAGTGGTTGTAAGTGTGAAAAGCAGTCACAAGTCAAATCAGAATAGAGCTGGAAGGGACCTTGGAGGTCTTCTAGTCCAGCCCCCTGCTCAAGCAGGAGACCCCATACCATTTCAGACAAGTGTCTGTCCAGTCTCTGCTTCAAAACCTCCAGTGATGAAGCACCCACAACGTCTGAAGGCAACTTCTGTTCCACTGGGTGTCACGTTTTTCAGTGTCGTCGTAACTTTGAACCGTCACTAAATGAACTGTTGTAAGTCGAGGACTACCTGTACAGATAGGCCTTGAATTCAGTGGTGAAATCGACGTTTTTTTAACTACCGGTTCTGTGGGCGTGGCAGAAGAAGGATCCTGCAAAAATCTCCATTCCCACCCCACTCCAGGGGAAGGATACTGCAAAATCCCCATTCCCTCCTCACTCCTGGGGGGGGGGAAGGATATTGCAAAATCTCTATTCCCTCCTCACTCCTGGGGGGGGAAGGATATTGCAAAATCTCTATTCCCACCCTACTCCTGGGGGGAAGGATATTGCAAAATCTCCATTCCCACCCCACTCCTGGGGAGAAGGGTACTGCAAAATCCCCATTCCCTCCTCACTCCTGGGGGGGAAGGATATCGCAAAATCTCCCTTCCCATCCCATTCTGGGGCCAGCCAGAGACGGTATTTTCCAGTTCTCCGAACTGCTCAAAATTTCCGCTACCAATTCTCCAGAACCTGTCAGAACCTGCTGGATTTCACCCCTGCTTGGATGGTTTAACAACTGTTCTTCGTTACAATGGCCCTGAAAAAAAACAACTACCAACTTGTGGCCGGTCCTCTTAATTACAACCATTGCAGCATTCCCACAGTCGTATAATCCTCATACAGGTGTGTTGGTAACTGGCGCCTATTTATGTCAGCATCCCAGGGTCATCTGATCTCCATTTTCAACCTTCCCACAAAACAAAGTCAGTTTACTTAAGGACTCCATGGTTCACTTAGCAACTGGCCAAAAACAAAACAAAACAGCAAAAAAATGGGGCAGGATTTTTTTTTTTTAACAACCCCTTGCTTAGCAATAAAAAGTCTGGTCCCGATCGTGGTCATAAGTCAAGGACTTTCTATATAATGAGCTAAAAAAGAAAATAAACACAGCCAGGATTGTACAAATAATTATTGTCCCCGGTGCATCACAAATTCAGCCTGAAAGCAGACTACACTAACTGCAGTTCCACCAAAAGCCACCAGGGGAGGCTGCTTACTTCTAGCAGAGGGTAAAACGTTCTTGCAAGGCTGATTTTAGGTCCACCCAATTCAGCATTAAATCCGTTTGTGGGACTTCTGCTTCCATAATCCTCAGCCTCCCTGAGTTGGGACTCATGAGAGCTGAGGTCCATCCCATCTATGTCCGTAAGCTTCCCAAATGGTTTGGGGTTGCCCCTTCCTTCTCCAAAATCCCATTTCTCAAGGCCAAGATACATTTTGGGAATTGCATCCAGATAGCTATGGAAGACTGATAACCACAAATAACATGAGACACATAAGAAAAAAAAAAAGATATTTATTTTATATATGTATATAGGTGTGTGTTTGGACCTATGTTACACAACTGGACCATAGATGGGACTTGTGTCGAGGTATTCAGATTCTGGAATCAGATTAGATCACAGAATTTGATGGTGTGGATGGAAGTTGTGAATACTGGGACTGCCAAAGAAGAGGAAGAAGAGGAAGAAGGTTGCAAAATTGGTCCAAATGGGGCACCCATAACAAAAGTGGTTCAGTTTTCGGGCTTAGCCAAATGAATAAAGCCCCTAAAACAGAAGTATTCACACATGGCAACTTTAGGACTTTTCTACTTCAACTCCAAAAATTCCCCAGCCAGTCATGGCTAACCCTAACCCTAAACTAACCCTAACCCTAACCCCAGTGGTGGGATTCAAGTAATTTAACAACCGGTTGTCTGCCCTAATGATTTCTTCCAACAACCAGTTTGCCAAACTGCTCAGAAAGTTAACAACTGGTTCTCCCGAAGTGGTGCGAACTGGCTGAATCCCACCACTCCCTAACCCTCACCCTCACCCTCACCTAACCCTAAACTAACCCTAACTCTAACGTAATCTAATCTAACCTAACCCTAACTCCTAAACCTAACCCTAATTCCTAACCCTCACCTTAACCTAACCCTAACCCTAACCCTAACCCTAACCTAACTCCTAACCCTCACCCTAACCTAACTCCTAACCCTCACCCTAACCTAACCCTAATGTACCTTAACCCTAATCCTAACCCTAACATAACCCATGCTAGCTGGGGAATTGTGGGACTTGAAGTCCACAAGTCTTAAAGTCGCTAAAGTTGGATACCTCTGCTTTAGAGTTTACTAGAAGATTTGTTTCCTTTCTGAATGCTGGAAACAGCATCGATGAGTCCCTTTTCTTGAAACGAAGCTTTCCTTTTACTTCAACAAGACGAACGTCAGCAAGCATTTCTCTTGCAAGCTACACCTACTGCCAATGCAACTTCTCCATCGCTCCAGGGCCCAAAAATTCCTCTTTTGCTTGGCTTCATCTTATAAGGGGCATCCGACTCCTGAAGAACCTGACCTCATCTGCTCACCTAGGCCAGGCCTTGTTCTTGTCCCAGTCCATCCTCGCAAGTCTGCAATAGATAGATAGGTGGATGAGGGGACAGGGACAGCCGAGCAAACCGTAGCCTTTGACTCCGTTTTCGTCTTCCGGTGATTTGCCTGGACAAATCCTTGCTGTTTTATTGGCAAGTTTTTTTTCCAGAAGTGGTTTGTTGCTGCCTCCGTGCTAGAGCAGGGAGGGAGGGACCAGCCCAAGGTCACCCAGATGGATCCATGCCTAACGTGGGAGTAGAACACAAGGTCTCCCAGCTTCTCCCCTGATCTCTTAACCATAACATCAAACTGCCTCTCTGTTTTTACTTCTTTAGAGATCACAGATTTAAGAAACAGTACACTCTAGTGGCTAAAATTTTGGGTGCTAACTTTGCAGATAGGGCGTTTGCACGAATTCCTAGCATGAATATTTATTTCTTCGTGTTTTTTTTTTTTTTTTTTAAATCTGTCTGTAGAGATTCTCGGTCATCCTGTCCCAAAGGTGCTTTTTTTTTTTTTTTTTAAAATTTGATTTATATGCGGCCCTTCTCCGGAGACTCAGGGCGGCTTACAATGCGCTCAGCAATAGCCTTCATCCTTTTGTATATTTATACAAAGTCAGTTTATTGCCCCCACAAACCAGGTCCTCATTTAACCTACCTTAGAAAGGATGGAAGGCTGAGTCAACCTTGAGCCTTGGCGAGATTTGAACCTGCAGTAATTGCAGGCAGCTGGTCTTAATAACAGGGTGCTTTAGACCACTGTACTACCAAGGCTCTCAGATTCTCCTTTTTTTTCAGGAGGCAACTGGACTTTCTTGGGTTTTTTTTTTTCTCTTTTGAAGACATTTTGCTTCTCATCCAAGAAGCTTCTTCAGCTCTGACCGGATGGTGGGGAATGGAAGGATTTATATTCCTTCTATTAAGCTGTTTGCAAGGAATATAAATCCTTCCATTCCCCACCATCCGGTCAGAGCTGAAGAAGCTTCTTGGATGAGAAGCGAAATGTCTTCAAAAGGAAAAAAAAAACCCCAAGAAAGTCCAGTTGCCTCCTGAAAAAAGCACCTTTGTTTAAAAAATAAATAAATAAATTCCAAAGCATCTTAATTTATGCATAAGGGAGAATTCAAGAGCTCTCT